TACCTGAGCCCCATCTCAATCCAGCAAGGTGCACAAGAACCTTGGCTTTCCCAGGTCTGTCCCTCCTCATTGGCTAAGACAGCAGCTGTAGCCATTGGCTGTCAATCATAGCCAGTGAGCCAATGGAATGGACACACAAAGCAGTGACTCAGGACCGATCTTGCTTGGGTGCCCCCATAGCAAGCTGCTTGCCATGGGGGCACTAGGCCAATCAGTGATCACATGAACAGTAGTAAACAAGATGTCACTTCCTGACATCATTGTATACTACTTGTGAAATCTGTGAATGATCACAGAGGTCACATGGTACAAGGCTATTCACAACAGCCTTGCACCATGTGACAAGCTGTGACCAGTCACAGCTCTCACAGTATTTCTCAATGGCTGCAGGAATGCAGCCAGAGAGAAAGAGAAATTGCTTTTACAGCCTTTATGGGTGTAAAAGCAATCAGTGTAAAAAAAGAAAAAAAAATCTTCATCACCCCCCACAAGTAGTACAGTGTCACTATGGTGACACTGTACTGCTAGGGTGACAGTATGTAAATAAAAAAACATGAATAATAATATTAAAAAAAAAATAAAATTGTAAACAAATTTTTTAAAATATTATGATTTTTTTTATAAACTAATTTGGGTTATTTTTTTTCCAGAAAGATAGCTGAATACATTTTGACCAAGATTTATTAAGAAATATTATTTATTTGCAAAATTTTATAAGAAAAACACTTTTTTTTTCAAAATGTTTGATCTTTTTCATTTATATAGCAAAAAAAATAAAAATCCCAGTGGTGAATAAATACCACCAAAGTAGTGTTTTATCTGTCTCAAAAAAAATGCTAAACATTTCATATGGCACCCATTTTGGTAGAAGAAGGACTTTGCTTCCTTGTATCAGAGCCTCCAGCAAAGAAAACAGTGTGCAACACAATAATGACATCTCACTCCAAATTTCCTGAGAAAAGCAGTCAGAGGCAGAAGTTCTTTAGACAAGTCTTTCTCAACCAGGGTGCTTAGGCACCCTGAGGTGCCTTGAGGTTTCTTCAGGGGTGCCTTGGAAAAATGCCAACAAATGCCCAAAACCTGAATACAAGCCAGAGGGTGGAACAAGCCTGCCTTTTAGTTACACAAAGCCACAGGTTCCCATTGTGCACCATTATGACCTTTTAGCTGCCAGCATCCTGGCAACCAGTGACATCATCAGTTGATAAGGAGGATGTCAGCTGCCTGCACAGCATCCTAGTTTGACCCTCCCTTGCCCTCTCCATCAGTGCTGGGGTCACATTAGCTCAGTGATGGAGAAAAACTGAGGGAGAGGAAAAAACATTGTAAATACTATCAGTACCATTGTGCAAAGGTGTATTTGCTTTGGAAGAATAAATCACCTCTAGTATTGGGTGTTCTACATGTGTGGATTTTGCTGCATTATATAAAACTATTAGAATTGTTTTTCACATTTTAGAATGGAGTGCCTCAAGACTGTCCATTAGAGATGAGCGAATCGAACTTGGCGAAGTGTGGAATTCGTTTCGAATATTAGGAAAAATTCGATTCGCACCGAATCCGAACATTAGCAAACTTCGGATGCACGAATCGAATTTTTCCCGATCGGCCGATTTTCATCCCTTCTACAGCCGGCAAAAAGTGTCCCTGCAGAGAGCTCCGCTATTTCTGACAGTTCTCTGACAGTTCCTTCACATTTACAGCGGTTGAAACATTGTATCTATTTGTTTCCATTTAGGATACAGATGTTTTTATTCGGAAACAAATAGATACAATGTTTCAACCGCTGTAAATTCTTCTTCTTCTTCTTTTCATTCTTCTTCTTCTTCTTTTCATTCTTCTTCTTCTTCTTTTCATTCTTCTTTTCATTCTTCTCATTCTTCTTTTCATTCTTCTTTTCATTCTTCTTCTCATTCTTCTTTTCATTCTTCTTCTTCTTCTTTTCATTCTTCTTCTTCTTCTTTTCATTCTTTCATTCTTTTCATTCTTCTTCTTCTTCTTCTTTTTCATTCTTCTTCTTCTTTTCTTCATTCTTTTTCTTCTTCTTCTTCTTCTTCTTCTTCTTCGTCGTGCCCCGTGACTGCCCAAATGAGTGAAGTGTGCGGTGATTCTAAGATCGACGGCACTCATCTGCATGTCATACTGACTGACAGTATTATTTCTCTTCCCCAGCAGACTCCAAGGGCATTTAAATTAAAGGTACAGTGTTCTGCACTAATATAAAGGCTCTCTGAAGCCTAGAAACCCTTTTAATAAGTTAAATTCGCAGCGAATAAATTTGCATCGAATCGAATTTCTTCCGCAAATTCGGCGAATCAGCCGAATCGAATTTTTGAATAATTCGCTCATCTCTACTGTCCATAATTTTAAAGGGTGCCTCAGGACTGTCCATAATTTTAAAAGGGTGCCTTGACTAAAAAACGGTTGAGAAACACTGCTTTATACCTCACACTACATATATATAGCTAGGAGGCTGTAGACACATACAGTAAGTGCCTGGGCACATTCACAAACCAGAAGGAGCACTGCTAATTTTTAGGAGGAATTTTAAACAAAAAATATATTTTTCAGGAACATATACAATTTAAAAAAAATTTTTATAACACAGCAATTATTCACTTCTTGACGTTAGTTCCTTTTCAACAGAGATTCTAATCATTCCCCACTTTTTAAATTAAAATTGTTGTATTATTGATTGTGTCTCCATTGAATACATTGTCCTTATGTGATGGGGAACCAGAATACAAAAAAGCATGACAGGGGTTCCTAACTTCCCCCATTCTATTCAAGACTGTAACAAAAGAAGATTTTGCCTGGATTTTTAAAAATACACAAATAGCAAAGCATGGTTGTTTCTAGAATTGCAAATGACATATTTTGTGTGTTAGCTTCATTAGCTTTGCAGCTTGCACAATGTTTTATAATATTTCAAGTGTAAATTATGTTTTAATCAGGCTTTGGAAACATGTGGAGTGACAGTGTAACATTATGGCTGCACCAAAGTCACACAGCTGTGCAATAAATACAAATAAATTCAATTCAGACAGTAATTGCTTCAGCAGGAGTGCAGACCTTGAAACTCAGTCTTTCAGCAGCATAAGAAATCATTTTATTGCTTAACTTTTTACCAACAAATAAAATATCAATTTTGTGTTGCATGACCTTTTAAAGGAATCACAAAGTTACAGTAAAATTCTGCAATGTCAATTCCAAAAAAAGAAAAAAAAACATGCTATTTGAACTTTATAAGGCATTATGTACACATTTATTATCGCCTTTAATTATGCAATTTCCTGTATTGACTTAACACCCACATAGAGAGGGAATTAAAAGTGGTGCAAGCAGGAGTTTGCACTACTCTTTTAAACATTAAAAAAAAGGGAGCAAACGCTGTTCCTTATTCATAAAGGGGTGCAAGCCCCTTTGCTAATTAGGAGCAATCAGATCTTTATTATGCTGTGTTTGTGAAAGGCAACAGAGAGAACAGAAAGCTATAGCTACATGCTCTGAGATCTCTGCCATTCCTGCTTTTCTGATCAGCTTAGAGTGGAAGGGAGGAGGAGGACTCTGCTCTTATAGTGTAATCACTACACGAGCAGAGATTAGAGGGTTGTGAGCTGTCTATCGACAGCTCACATACCATACGACAGGTCACACCTGGAAGGAATCATAGGTAGTTTTCTATACGGAAAACTGCCAAATTTCCTCTGTTATTTAGGAGCAGACCTGCAGTCCTGCACTAGTATTTATTTCTGAAATAGAAACTGTCATGGGTGGTGCAGATAGACCACTCCAAACAGTTTACTGCACCATTATTATGTCACAGGAAGCTGTAGTGTCCTAGAACCATTATTACTGATACATAGCCCAGAGGAGCTTACATTTCATTGTCTCACTATGGTCATACAGGCACATACATAGTTTACATTCAGTTTCATGAAAGCAAACTGGGACACCTTGGAGAAGTCTACCCAGACCACAACTTTGTCATGTTGAGGGCTGACATGGGGATCACAAGGATTTGTTAGTAAAGGTGTAATTTTTTTAGTTTAAAGACCTTACACTCCATACAAATTTTGCTTATTTAGTGCGGCCCTCCTCCCCTTCCTAAACCTCTGCAAAAAAAGTTAGTTAATTTACAGTACTTTCCTTTCCCCCACATTCTTTAGTATGGAGGGCAAGATGAAGCTACAGCACAGTGAGATTTGAGCTACGTACATTCTCCAGATTTTGCTTAAGGGGTGGTGTTACCCTGGCTTAGGTCTGCAGGTGACAGCAGTCATATGGTAAGTATATAAACAAATGTTTCCCCAAAAATTGTTTTTATACCTCTTTTGAATTGTTTAGAGTTGGGGAGAGGCCCTTAATAAATAAGCATAAGCTTGTGATTTTAGGACAAAGTCTGCTTTAAAGTGATTCTAAAAGAATTTTGAAAAAAAATAAACATGCAATACGTACCTGTTCTGTGCAATGGTTTTGCACAGAGAAGCCCTGAGCCTCCTCTTCTGGGGGCCTGCGCATCTGGCTCCTAACCCCCAAATGCCTTCATAACAAGCCTCTTACTATGATGGTACTTGTGCGGGCTTGCTCCTGAGCCACGCTCTGGGTGAGAGTCAGTCAGAAAGTAAAAGCTGCGTAAATTCCAGTAAATATATCATAGTTTGTAGATGCTATAACTTTTACACAAACCAATTAATATACACGTATTGGGATTTTTACCAAGGACATGTAGCAGAATAAATTTTGGCCTAAATGCATGACTAACTGAGTTTATTGGATATTTTTTGTAACCGAAAATAGAAAATATCTTTTTTTTTAATTTTTGGTATTTTTTTGTTCATATCACAATCAATAAAAAAACATTGGTGCGCAAATAACACCAAAAGAAAGCTCTCTAAGTGTGAAAAAGGACATAAATTTTGTTTGAGTACAGTGTTGCATGACTGCGCAATTACCAGTTGAAAAAGCAGTGTCGACTAGCAAAAAATGGTCTGGTCGGGAAGGGGAGTTTCACGATCAGAGGTCAGGCTCGAAGACCAGTTGCTATAGCAGTGGAAAGGCTCACACCGAAACCAGCAGGATAGGTACACAGGCAGGTCACCGTAGCACAGGAGTTCGCTCATCTGAGGTGCGGAGTTTAAGTACCAACCAGTGTTCACCAGAGCTCCTGATGGTGGAGATGGATTTTGCTGCATGTTAGCACCAGGTCACGGTCCTCAGGATCACCCCACCAGGAGGTGAACAAGCGGAGGCCGAGTAGCGTATTAAGCAGGTAAGGATCAAACAGAAGCGTAGTCAGTAAATAAGCCAAAGTCAATAATGAGCAGTCGCAGGTTGGGATCAGGCAGAAGCGTAGTCGAGAAGAAGCCAAAGGTCAATAACAAGTGGTAGCAAAATATGGATGACAGCAGAGAAGGCAAGGAGCAAGAAATGCAGAGACATGGCTTATATCAGGAAGTTCATGGGAGGAGCAAGGGGTTCAAGGTTTATGACAAACAAGATCAAGGCAGGATCATTCAAATAATTGTCAAGGGAGTTGTCCATCATTCCAGGTGGCTCAGCAAGAAGAAACATTGTTACTCACCACAGAAGGCCCAGGTTTGGATCCATGCTCCAATGGGGAGGGGGGTTAAATCTACCAGAGGGCAAGTGGTTAAGGTAAAAACCTTCTACCTTTAGAACCACTTTAAGCAGTTCACATAGTAAAATGTGGGGCCACTTCTTTCATCCTTATTACCTATTGCTATCCATATCTAAAACAATAGCTTTGGATTTAGATAGACTTTAAATTATCTGCTACTGATGTGATTCACCAAAATAAATAATCTGAAGGATTAATCCAAAATTATATAAATGTTTGTGATTTTCAATAGGAATCAAACACAATAAACACCTTTCATGAATCAACAACAATGTGGTTCACTCACCCTGCTTGTGGGACTTGAAACAAGAATTACAATTCCCAATTCTATCACTTGAGAGACAAGAGCAGTATTAAATCATAAAGCCTACTTCTTTATTGATATCCTCTTAAAACTGCAGCACAAAGGAGCTCAGACAACCCAACTGGTTTCGTGTCTCTGCAGAGACTTCCTCAGGGATTTGATTGGGTTGTTCAAGCTCTTTTCTGCCAATGTTTCATAACAATAGCAATAAAAAAGACTTTTTGATTCGATATTACTAGTGTTACTAAGGTAACACAATTTGGACAGATAATCCTCATCTTATGTCAAGTTCAGTGTATTCTAGTTTTTTTAAAAATAGGTCTGCAATGGAAGTCCGTGTAATTTACCTGTTGTTTTGACAGGTCAAAAATGATTTCTTCTTTTTCTTAATTTGTAGGTGTTTTGTAGATATTGAGGATAGGCTGCAAGATTTTTAAACGATGAAGTAGTTTAAAGATCCACCTAACCACCAAGGCCTTTGAAAGGGTGTCTTTGAACCTGAACTCAGGCAAAAGGCTCAGGCAGATATAAAAACTAAAATTTTTGAAGCTATACAGTTATGTCTATGTACTCGAATTGTAATTAGTATTAAACCTGGATTTTACATGGGATCAGCCTGTAGGCATATGCAGTCTGTACTCCGCTCTTTAGGTGGCATTAGACTTAAGCAGCAATACAGAAGGGGAGGAATTTGTGAGGAACTCAGCTCCTCTATGACTTCCTGGATCATCAGCAGAGCAGCTGTCTGTTTGAACACTGGTGTCCTACATGATCCCTGTGGCCATCTTGGGTAGGGCAGTACTTATTTAAGACATGGGCTCCCTGATTTCCTGTGCATTCTGCAAATGGTTAATGTAAGGGCAGGTTCCCCGTCAGTCAGGGAGCCCATAGTGTTAGGGAGAGGTTAAAGAGGGGTAGGAACAGTGCAGGGACCACGCTACTCTCCACTTTAGGAAGCCTCAGACTGACCAGTCCGCATTTCCGCTCCTCATTGCAGAAGCTATCAGCATCACTTCAAGCTAAAGTGCCGCAAGTTTTTGTAAGTGACTCTGGGCGGTTGTGCACACCTGCTGGGCCTAGTTGTACTTGTTGTTGGAACTTTTTTCAATACACAGCTCACATTACTCGACCTTTGTGTGATTTCTTCTGTTGTCACACCACACTGCACCCTGCTCACAAGCCTCTAAGCATTCATGTACAGCAGAGCTCAGAGTGGGGGAGGGAGAAGCCAGCATGGTGGCTAAGTGCTTAGCACTTCCATCTAGCATCACTAGGGTTTGTCAGTTTGAATTCCAACCTGCCTGGAGTTTGAATGTTCTCCCTGTGCCTGTATGGGTTTCCTCCTACATGCCAAAGACACGCTGGTAGGTTAATTGGCACCTGTAAAAATTGTCCCTTGTATGTATGAATATGAGTTAGGGACCTTAGATTGTACACTCCTTGATGGCAGGGACTGATGAGAATGTACAATATATATGAATAAATTGATGACGCTATATAAGTACCTGTAATAAATAAATAATTTGTACTATAGTACTGATAGAAGTCACAGTCTGGGGGAAAGACAAAACCGGTAGGTGTTACTGAGTTGCCAGAGAGCAAAAACAGATCTCCCTGCCAGGCATAGCTGTACGGTGTAGCACAGCTCAGTGATAGATGGACAGCAAGACTAGACATGTGCAGTTGGTATTGTTACAAATCAAAATTTACTTGATTCAAATATCTCTTAATCACAACAATAAAGAATTTCAAATAATCCAAAATAAATTATAATGAAAACAACAAATGCATTTCTTTCTTTCGGATGATATGATACTATAGTTTGAGCCTTTTGATAATGTTTGAAGCATCTGACATAACGAATAATCAGAATTGATTCAGATCTATTTGTTTTTATTCTAGTGAGCATAGTGTACATATTCTAATAATATTCTTTTTGTATTGGGGTTGAACTTGAGAGACCATTTGTTTAATGTGTATTTGCGCGGCCCAACAAATAAAGTCAGTTGGGAATGAGGAAATGATAACATAACAATGAATACGTATTAATTTACATTCATTTGTTTTATTCAGATGAGAGCAGCCTGGTAGTCTTTGACTCTTGGATAATCAGCTGATTCTTTTAACATTAACATTTTTCTTTATTATAACAAATGCACTACCTATGAAATGGAAACATATTGCAATAAATACAGTAAGGTATTAAAGTGAAATAAGATGATTCCTACTTATTGCGCTTGGGTTGGATGGAGGTGGATCCATCAGAATCTAGGAATCATAACATAATGAATGAATCTGAAATTAATTTTGTTCCATTTGTTACTTTCGAATGCACTCAGCTCCAGTCGATATCATCCAATCAGCTCATTCCATTTCTCTTTGTTGGTTGGACTAGCTGGGATATAGCCAATCTTCTAAAATAACAAAAGAATAACAGAACTTCCAAAATTATTAATTGATTTGGAACAACAAATATATACTCTCCTGAAAAAACAAATTGTTCCGAAAACAAATCAGACATAATGATTATGATGAAACAAAATGATTTACGTACGTTGTGCATATCTCTAAGCAAGACAATTCTTTCTGGCAGGTAGAACAACTCCATTATAAAGTACTGTATATATTTCATCTGTATATCTAGCTATTTAGCTGCACTTCAGCTTTAAGAAGAATGTAATAAGAAGAGTAAGGACCAGTTCACACTACATGCATTTCAGTGTCTTTTTTTTCTGCATCCAAAATGCACAGAAAGTAGGTTATATGGTTGTCAATGTCATAGTTCACATCAGTGCTTGCAATTCCTTTGAGTTCTGGTTGCAGAAAAAAAAAGTAGAACATGCTGCATTTTTCCTGAAGAGAACTGTACTGGAACGTGGCAAAACATACCAGAATGCCTATTTAGATTGAAGAAAAAGAGAGGGGAGAAAATGAATCGGAACGCATCAAAAACGCACAAGAATGCGTCAAAAATGGATCAAAAACGCACCAGACACGCAAAACAATGTGTCAAAATGCGCATGCGGAAATGCATCCAGAACACATCTGGACTGCATTTTTATGGTGTGACCTGGCCCTTAAACTCTGAAAAAACAGAAAAATATTGTAGATGGACTATCCCATCAAAGTATGAATAAATGTTATTATTATCTGCCAGTAAAAAAAAGAGATAAGGTGCAAAATTAAGAACATTGTTTTTAACCCTTTCACTGCCATAGATTTAAGGGTTACATTGGAACAGAACTGCTTGGCTGGCTCAGTAATCTGCATTTATTTAGGTTCTAAGTTTACAGCCATCAGATGCATCTGATGGAATTACAAATGGATGTGATCAGCTAACAAGCCACAATTAAAAAAAAAAATAACAAAACAAAAAAAAAATCCAAACACCCCCATATACAGATACATGTTAGGATGGATTTGATATTTTTGTGCCGTGTTGCGGTGTGTTGCAGCACATGCATTAGGATACATTGCGTAGTGAAAGCCCATTCATTTTACATTTATTAATTTTTATGGCTTTTTAAAATGTCTTAGTTTGTGGTGTGTTAACACACTGTAGATAATGTGTGGTGCAAGAAGGCAGCACATTTAAAATTAATGGGGTGCCAACACACCCTAACAAGCTTAAACATACCTACTGCTTTTTTTTAATGCAATTCTCTTCAATGCGTTTCAGCATGATAAAACGCAAGTGTGCTTCCTTACTGCATTGGGTTGGTATCCAATGAATGGCACCACAGTACAGTAATGCATCTTACCATGTACTGTGGTGCAGGTGCTGCTGTGCACTGGCCACTCTATACTCTGACACTGGATATTTCAGTAGTGGCATAGAGTCAGGGGTGTCCCTATGCGGGTGCGGTGGGTGCTCGCCGCAGCAGATGACACCTAACGCACGGGGTGACACCGGACCCGCTCCACAAAAAGGTAAGTTGTAAAGCAAGCCAACGATCCCCACAGGATGGATCTGAGAATTGGGGAGCATAATGGATCGAACTCCGATCCATTATGCTCAATCTGCAGATCCGATCCATCCTGCGGGGATCGTCGGCTTGCTTTACAACTTACCTTTTTGTGGAACGGGTCCGGTATCACCCTGTATAGGTTGCATGCCGACAATCCCCACAGGATGGATCGGATCTGCGGATTGGGGAGGATAATGGATCTGACTCCGATCCATTATTGCTTTTTTAAATAGTTTTTTTCTCAAAATTGTTGGACATTTTTTGTTTTTGAAACGCACAAGCAATCAAATACCACTGAAAGAAAGCTCTATTTGTGGGGAAAAAAAGAACATAAATTTCATTTGGGTGCAGTGTTGCATGACCACGCAATTGTCAGCTAAAGTAACGTAGCGCCGTATCGCAGAAAATGGTCTGGTCAGGAAGGGGGGGGGGGTTAATCCTCTGGAGGGCAAGTGGTTAACATGTTATTTTGTGCTTAAACATGCATTGCAGTTTGGCAGCACATTTTGTATTAATGAAGTTCCAGCACAACACAATGTGCGCAATATAATTCATGTACCTTTTTTTTCATAATAATAAACAAAAAGAAGTATATCATTTTAATTAACAACAAGTAAAGGAAAGGGGTTAACATACACTCACAAAGATGAGAGTAAATGGGTATATCATCAGTCCTTATTCACTGGCAAGCCTCGGTGGACAGCAGGTGGAAGGATGGATGGATGGATGAGATGTATCCTTCAAA